CTAATTCACCCCCAGTCTGCATTTTATCCTCAGTCTGCATTTTATACCCCCAGTCTGCATTTTGTACCCAGTCCGGTCTGCAGTCTGCAGTCCGCAGTCTGCAGATTATACTGACCGCATTACATGATGGTGATGAATATGAAATGAAAGGAGGAATAACCCTTGTAAAGAGGCAAAAACCAAGGATAATACGGTCAGTTAGATTCAATAAAAATAAAGATCCAGAAAATTATTGCAGAGAACAAATTATGCTTTATACTTCTTGGAGAAATGAAAAGAAAGATCTTCTCAAGGATTTTCAAACCCACCAGGATCGATTTGAAGATGTTAAAGATTTGATAGAGGAAAACAGAAAACAATATGAGAATCATTCAGAAGTCCTTGATCAGGCAGTACACGATATTGAAAGTGATGAGTTTGGTAATGTAGTTGCTCCTAATGCACAATATAGAGATGAACAAGATAAAGAAATTGGCTCGAAAGAAAGTGAATTATTTGGATGTTTTGATCCCGGCAAAGTTAAGCAGCATACTGAGTACGATTTAATGAATGATATTGGTATATATCCAAGAACAAATGACGATGAAGAACTGGTTGTAAAACAGCTAAAAGATGATGATTTTAGAAAACTTGTCCAGTCACTTAATATTGAACAAAAGGAATTCTTTTACCATGTGCTGAATTCTGTAAAAACTGGTAATCACCCACTGAGACTGTTTCTAAGCGGAGGTGCTGGTGTTGGTAAAAGTACTGTTACAAATGCTTTGTATGAAGCACTTATGAGATATTTAAATGCTCAACTTGAAAATGATCCCGACAATGCCAGTGTTCTTAAAGTGGCACCTACCGGTAAAGCAGCGTTTAACATAAGAGGAAATACACTCCATTCCGCCTTTAAGATCCCTGCAAACCGAGGATTTAAATATTGCACACTTGATAGAGACAGATTAAATACTATAAGATCACAATTCGAGAGACTGAAAGTTATTTTTATTGACGAGATCTCTATGGTAGGCAATGGAATGTTTAATTTTCTTGACTTAAGATTGCAACAGATAATGGGCACAAAAGAACCATTTGGTGGTCTTAGTATAATAACAGTTGGTGATTTATTTCAACTAAAACCAATCTTCGATCATTGGATATTTGAAAACTCAAATGAAGGCTATAATGCGTTAGCAACGAATCTCTGGCAGCAATATTTTCAAATGTTTGAATTATCACAGGTTATGCGACAAAGAGAAGACAAAGACTTTGCTGAAATTTTAAATCGGATAAGGGAAGGCAAACACACTGAAGATGATATTAGAGTTCTGAAAGAACGAATTTTTACGCTAAGTTCAGAACATCCTGATTATCCAATAGCTTCTACCCATTTGTTTAGTACTAATATGGCGGTAGATGAACATAATCGTGAAATTTTTCGTAAATCAACAAATGAGAAGGTTGACGTTAAAGCGATAGATATTGTACTTGGCGATTTATCCGATGACTTGAAAGAAAGACTGAAAAAGCAAATCCCAAATGATCCTTCTAAAACAATGGGATTGTACTCAGTTTGTTCCATACTAAGAGAAGCAAAATATGATCTTACGACAAACGTATCAGTTGTAGATGGCATGACCAATGGTGCTGAGTGTATAATTAAGAAGATTGATTACCGAGTACCAGGCTCATCAAGACCAAGTATTATTTGGGTTTTATTTCAAGAACAACACATTGGAAATGATTATTGCAGAGAATACTCTCACCTTTACAACCAGACAGTGGAAAAAAATTGGGTTCCAGTTTTGGAAGTCACTAGACAGTTTAGAAAACACCAAATGAGACAATTTCCATTGAGACCAGCAGCAGCCAAAACTATTCACCGTTGTCAAGGAGATACATTGAACGAAGCAGTTATTGACCTTCCATCTTCAAAGCGAGAACACATGCATTATGTTGCCCTTAGTAGACTTAGAAGCATTTCCGGATTACATATTTTAAATCTAAATGAAAATAAAATGACTGTGAGCAAGAAAGTACAAGAGGGAATGACAAGACTCAGAGGAAATGCACTACTCACCAGTCATATCCCTTTTCTTTATAAAGATACTAGTGGAACATTTAAGATATTATTTCAGAATGTGAGATCATTACATCTCCACTTCCCTGATGTTGCCAGTGATAACAATGTAAAAGCAGCTGATATTAATATGTTTGTCGAAACTGCTTTGTGTAGTAATGATAATAATGACTTATATCATATTCCTAGTTTTCAACTTTTCAGAAATGATTTTATGCCACATGGTACAAGAACACCATATGGAACTGCTCTTTATGTAAAAGACAATGCAAATATTTTATCAGAACCTCTGAGATGCAACTATAACGATGTAGAAATAACGTTGATAAAACTAAATCAACCAGTGCACAATTTACATATTATAGGAATTTATCGTTCCAAATCAAAGGTGAAAACTTCAAGGTTTATCGATGCTTTAAAACATTTGCACTCTAATATCATAGATGATCCCAATGCTCCCGTTATTATCCTTGGTGATTTTAATATCAATTTTATGGAAAATGCATCCGACAAAAATTCACTTTGTAAATACTTAATTGAAGAAAGGCAATATGTGCAACTTATTAATCAAGTTACAACTGACTATCAAACACAAATCGATCATATTTACACTAACATACCTGAAAGAATAAAAAATAGTGGTGTTTTAGAATCATACTTTAGCGATCATAAGCCTATTTTCGTCTCTTTGATTTGATTTGATCAGAAATGCTGAGAAGTACACATACATATATATACTAAAATATTTTCACCTTGTATACTTCAAACTTCAATTTTATCACAAATGCATATATACGTAGATATATATAGATGATTACTGCATGCACCCCTCTGAGGGGATTCTCCCTATTTACTAGGGGTGGAAGAAGGTTCCCAGATGCCTATGCCTTCATAATTTTACAAAGGTAAGTTACTCAATAGATTCATTTTGTTTTTTGAAATCTTAATAACTCCAATGATCGTTGCCCAAATGCCGTGCATCTTACATCTCCATACAACTCTTTGGTGTATAGTGACTATTATTTTTTTATTTCAGGGTCACTGTTTAATCTACAATCATTATAAATGAAAGCGGAAAGCAGCCATGCCCATCATAGAAATATAAATGGACACTATTAATATAAGGTATATATATATATTAACGAAACCATACTGAATTTAACGTTTTGAGTATTACTGGTACAAGACAAGATAATAGACAAGCTATACATGAACTTGTGGTTGGAGCTCGACAACAGGCTTATGTAGCTCACTTGGTTTGAGCGCTGCACCGGAATCGCAGGGCCGCGCCTTCTTCTTTAATTTATACTTTATTTTATTACAGATTAAATCTCTGATGCAAACAGACAAAATTTGATCAACATTATTTGGTGTGGTATATGTACATTGATTGCTGAGTTATAACAAGAGTGACCCAAGCCAAACATTTTCTGCTGCATGGCATATAAACATTTTACCAGAAAGAGCTAGAAAATTAATTAAAAGCAAGAAAGAACATCTGGCTTAAAGCCATTATTCAAGGAATGAAGCCAAGGAAAATTATCATCCCGAAGGCAAAAAAAGGAAAATAGGACTGCGTGTAAGAAAATAGAATAAGAAATTATATTGATTGGATATATGTACCGTCCGCTTATGATACATTAAAACAAACGTCAAACCGAACAGCAAACAACTTTTTAGATGCATGTATCAATCTTTCTAATAAGAACTGACCTCCTGACATCATGATGAAGAATAGCAGCTTATGATTCCTCAAGACTGAACCTCGACATAACATCTAGTGTAAAAACTGTAATATTATGCTATGCATGCATGAGCATGCATGTATTATGGAACACTCATTTTCATTATGTTGCGCAATGCTTTCATTATGTTCCGTTTATAGTATATTTGGATAAAATTGTGTATAGTTCTGGAAATGTGAAAACTCTTCATGTTGGAATACTGCAACAGGATAGCATACTAAAGTAATCAATTAAAAATTCTGTAATTCATCCAGACTATAAATAATACACACCATGCATGTAATATTTTCTGTTCGAAAAGAAATATAATTGCCGCGGTATGTGGAACTTAATATAACTTTTTCTTCTTCTTTATTTAATTAAACATTGTTCTTTCGATAAAGTGAGCCTTTTTATTGTTCATTTACATGATTCTGTTCAGGGCCGTAGCGAGCGTGTGTGTGTGTGTGTGTGTGTGTAACATCCCACCTGATAATTGCTCATGGGCAATTAGTCAGGCAGATTTTAGGGAGATTTTCAGGTAAATTCAACTAAATTTGCAGAAGAAATTCGGGTAAATTAACGCAAATTTAGGTAATTTCTAGGACAAGAGAAAGTTAATTTACAAAAATACTATGAATTTGGAAAAAATTGAGCTATTTTTACAAAAATTTAGCATATTCTAGAAATTTTCGGAATTTTAGAAAAAAATTGCTATATCCGCCAAAATTTTTTTGATAAACGCAGAAAATTTGTTATGTCCGAAAAATTTTTTATGTTGCGAAAAATTTTGATACATGGCGAGTTTTCGCATGGCGAGTTTTATTTGCACATTGACCATGTATACATACAATTTTAGCGCCGGCGAAACGCAAATGCTGAAATAAAATTGAATTCGCAAACTTGCCATCTGTCACGTGCATGTAAAGACACAGACGTCAAAACAAATTTCAACATATTTATTTAATGCAACATACAAGATACATATGAAACAGTTTACGTTATATACTTAAGCTATACTGTCTATGCAGGTAAAATATTAGAAAATGTTCGATGTTGTCATTGATTCTGTTCGATTTGTGTAACTACTATATTTTCGTTGAACGTATTAAATTACTATACACGTTCGCTAACTTCAGAACCTTTTCACAAATTTCATCAATTGAAAGATGTTGCACCGACCCAATCAACGCAACCACAGACACAGTTAATTCTATTATTATAACTCTGACGCAACCAAAACAGACGGTCCATGTCGAACACAAAGGTCAAAACAAATTTCAATATACTTAATATTTAACGCAACACACAAGATGTGAATGAGTTTAGGTTATGTATACTTACTACTTAGGCTATACTGTCTATGCAGCTAAAATAGTAGAAAATGTTCGATGTTTTCATTGATTCTGTTCGATTTGCGTAACTACCATATTTTGGTTAAAAGTAATTACCACGTTCTCTAACTTCAGAACCTTTTCACAGATTTCATCAACTGAAACATCTTGGACCGATCCAATCAACGTGACCAAAATAGGCTGGAAAGCCGTTAAGCGAATTAAGCTCTCATCAGCAGGATCACAAACTATGAAGTTAATCATAATATTTTCTCTACAATCGGAGCTTCGGAATCTTCCATTGCAGTGATCGCACTTAACCATGAAGCTGGATGTTTGTTGCATTATTTTTTTGTTGCACTTGGCATTCGGGCACTGTTTAAACAACGAACATTCTTCGACTGAATGAATCTTATCAACAGCAACAGACTTTGTAGTAATTAAATTACTTATCTCTTCATTAGCGATCTCTAGTCTGGCAAGTTCGTCATCCTTCTTTGGTGTAATGACACTGTCCATACTGGTGTTGAGAATCATACCCTCGTCTTTTTCGCATTTTCGAATTTGCTTAACTCTTTCTCGACCAGCCTATTCACGTGATAAATAGGTGTGTTGTGTTCCGGTGTGATTTTCTCTGCATGTACTGGACCCTTTTAAGCGCATAATGCATCGTTGGAAAGCTCATGACTTCGGCTATCGATTGATGACGGTTGGTTCCGTTTTCAAATGTGACACGTGACCCAAAAATGCATAAATTTGCATAAATTATGCAAAAATGTGGCAATAATATTTGCATTTTGCCTCATTAAGATCAAACAATGCACATTTTTCAATGCATTATATTTATGAAAAGTTTGCTTAGGTTATATAGTATATTTGTGCCAAGTTTCAAAATAATTGACTAACAGAATATATTTTTTTTTTATTTTTGAAATTCACCCGTTAGAAATGGCAGAATCTTACCTTCAATTTCATTGACATGTCTCCAATGTAGTAATCATGCCAGAGTCATATATATATTTTTTTACATAGTGGTGGTGGGTAGGCTTTAAGAATTCAACTCCTCTCCCACATTTTCTCCAGTGAAATCTTTTCCATTATTTGTCAAAATAAAGGTTCTGAGCAACTCGGCAACCCGAATTGGGAAAGTCACCCCCCCTGGTAAACAAAAAATGTGTGCAGCAACATAATTTTAAAAGTAGCTGACACCATTATGTTCTACTATGTTCAAGGGAAATTTCCCCTTTTGATTGAGTAAAAAAAAATCTGTACAGGCACCCAAAAGTACTATTGTGAGATTGAACGACACTGCTTGAAATCAAATTCAGTCGGAAACACACTTCCTTTTTTTAATTTTTAATAATAAAGTAAAAAATTACATTAAATATACATGAATGTAACACAAATAGTAAGGAAAATTTTATTAAAAAATGAAATGTTTGTCATACAATGAGCTGTAATCATAATGGGAAAATATGATACAAATTTCATTTGTTTGACAAATTTGATGTTGGACATGTTTCAGTCCACCCACAATACCAAATGCAGAAATACTCATGACCTCTTACCAGTGTAATCCCTACTATGCCATACTGCAAAACAATCATGCTCACCAGCAACATGCATGTGCCTATTGCACTGAGGGGCAGTACAATAAGTAGAAACCTTCCTCTCCCCTCGACCTTCCACGTAACAAACAACGCAATTCCTTCTTACACCATTTGCTGCCGTTTTAGGTAGATGGTCAGTACAAAACTGATCAGGGGGAGGAACAGCCTGCACTTGCTCATTCACAGGAGGTCTATCATACAATGCTAACCCACAAAGCTGTCTAACCAGCTCTTCCCTATAATCAACTATAGTATATGTGGACTTGCGATGCAATGCCGGATTACCCGGGTCACTGTTACGATGGCTTTGAAATAGAAGGAAACTGTTAACAGTTGCCATATCTATTAAGTGGAAGAATAATGTTTTCCACCATCGATAACACTTACGATTTACATTA